AATTACACCGGTTATTTACAAATGAATATGAAATAACGTTTCTATATTAAAAAAAATTGCAAGTTATTGTCTTTGAAACACAAGATTATGGCTTGAAAAAGAGTTCCTGAGAAGAACTTAGACTAACTAATTTTCTTTTGGGTAAGAATTTTTTTAGTTTGGAAACTCATTTCCTTGTTTTTTGTGCTCTTGAACTTGAAGTCAAAAAATTCACTAATTACCTTTCTCCTTTCAAAACAAATTCAATCAAAGAACGCAAATACACAAATCTCTTTAACTCTTTCAAACGAACGTGTTTTTAATCCAGACAAGTTTAATTTAGTTTGGTAACTGAAAAGCCATTAATCTATTGTTTTAGTTATTGAAGACAGAACAGACAGAGGAAATGCTGAGATTCGTTAAAAGAAATTCCCAACTTTTGACCAAAGCTATTGTCTTAGATTCACATACTCTAGTCTTGAAAGAGATAATGTATGCAAATTATGCTAATGAGAGGTCATTATACACACGTGTTGATTCAACAGGTGGCGATGGGTTGCCAACACGTGGTTCCACTTAATGGCTTCCTGGGGATATGTATTAGACACGACAATCGATTCAACAACTAACAAATCACGATAAAAAAATATTCAACCCCACAAGATAAGTAATTGAGAATAACGGGCTAAGATTCATAAAGAAAAAAATACTTTTCAACTTCAGTTGTGGTGAAAATGTTTCGTTGGAAAATTTACTTATTTTAACTCCGTTAAATAATTGCATGGTTGCGTGTTTTTCTCTCTCTATTTTTGTGTTGTTTTGTGGGTGTTTGAAGGATGACGTTACCTTTAAGTTATGACAGACTAGCCCTTTGTTCGCGACCGCTACCCCAGCTAATATTGTTTTGAGATGTTGACCACTTTCGACAATAAAGATAAGCAAAACACATTTTCAAAACATTTATTTAATAGCTGAAGATTTCTTGATAAATTCAGGGTTCAACTGTTAATGGTCAAACTTGTTTTCAGTAATGATTTACACACATTTGATTTTCAGAAAATTTGGATAGTTTTTCGCGTGTGTTTTTTGCAATTCGTAAAAAATACGAAGGATAGTAGAAATTGTTATGCTTCACACAGAAATGTTCCTTCAAGTCGGATTTAGATTGAGTTTGACATTCAAGTCTAGTCGGGAACCTGGCTTATTTCTATTCAATTCAATTTATGATCAAAGTTAAAGTTTGACAACAGAAAAAAAAGATGTACAACAGACAAGACAACAGTTTCATTGAAGCAGCAAAAGCCCAGTACATTGATTTTATTCAGCGCTTCTCTTTAGTTTTGGCAAATATCCTCATTTGATCTTTGTTCAGTTCTCGGTAGAACTGGAAGAGAAGTAGTTTTTGTTTTGCTTTTGATTCAGCTACTAAACTTCCATTGAACACAACTGTGAAGCTATGAAAAAGAGTCATATTTCTTCACACCATTTTTGTATAATTGCTTTCCTGTGTTCTTTCTTCTGATCTGCTAAAAAAATGCTTGATATTGTCTTCACCAGACTATCTCATAAAACGAAAAGAAGAAAGAAATTAGAAAGTATGAAAGACAATGTATTGTCGGGTTATCCTGATTTAAGCCTGATTTAATGATATCGTCTACTTTCTGCGGGTTAGCGATCCTTAAATGACATCCAGCAAATCCTGATCACTAGTGATAAGGCAATCTATCTTTTGACAGCATTGACGCTATCTTGTTCAGATGATTATGGAAAAATTGTTAACTTATCACTTCAAAACTAGTAAAGCTCGTTAATTAATCTAGTTTAGGCTAGCTAAACCTGTATAGCTATAGTAACTGGATGGATGGATGGACGGACGGACGGAGGGAGGGAAGAAGGGAGGGAGGGGGGAGGGAGGGGGCAGTGAGGGAGGGAGGGAGGGAGGGATGGATGGATAGATTTAAAATGATTCAAGTTATTCCAAACAAAGCATCATTTTGAAGCAGCGCCTAAAAATTCATAGTCTATATTTACTTCATTAATTAAATTTACAACTAACTTTTATAGTAACATGTAGCTAACCTGGTCAGGGTGCCTCCTGTTTGCCACAGGCTGACCACCTGGTGAGACGGACGGAATTCTACGTGATTCCCTTGAAGGTCGCATTAACCACTATGCTACGATTAGGAACTGAATACCTGTCATCAAAAACCATAATATTAACAGAATTAGTCAATATTCCTGTAAAGGGGTCGACCATTGCATTTTGACGGAAATGTGGTTTTACTGGTCGCTGAGCTAGTTCCTTAAGGTTGGAATCTCTATTCAACAGGTGTCCGAGGAAATCCACTTACCTTCGTTGGGCTAAATACACTTATTTCAATAAACGTTGTCATCGCCAAAGGCGATAGGCGATAGGTCATTCCGAAATGGAAATGGTTTCGTTGAATACCAAGACCATTGAATCAGTCTCAACACTAAGGTCCACGTTCTTGACGAGAATAAGAAGCAGAAACACAAGTCATTCCAGCTATTCTTGGATCTTGGAATGACCTGGCTCCTATCACTTTTCGCCTATTGTCTATCGCTTATCGCCTTTGACGATGACAACGTTTATTGAAAAAGGTGTATATTGTAGCTAAAGTTATTAGACTTCATCTCATATTTTGTGAAAAAGTTAACTAACAATTGCAATATTCTCTACTTTCACATCCCCATAATGCCTTGCGTTTTTGGGGGGTAACCAACCAAAAAAAACTGTCCCAAATTGAAAGGTTTCTTAATTGAATTTATACTATACCTGCTTTTATCTGTACAATACTGATTATCAGTTTATTCCAAGTTATTTTTGCGTGTACAGATCATGAAAAGTTTTGGTCTTACAGAAAATGTATTGACTTACGAAAAAATGTTTAAAATTTACCTTTAACGTCTTCAAGCTTTTATCTTTTTCTGTTTCTTACTTCTTCATTTTACCTTTGGATACCAAACAAGGTATTTTCAACATTGTCTGATCAGCCTTTAGCAAAATAAGTGGGTTTTTACCCTCTGGTTACCCCCCAAAGACGCAAAATTATGGGGTTGTGAAAGTCGAGAATTGTACACCTTAGTGCAAAGTTTTGTAGATCTACGGTCTACTGAGGTCTACTGAACTTACAAACTCTTGTGCAAATTTGTGAAATTTCTTACGAAGTTTTTAACCGGATATATGGTATGCACTCTTATCTAACACTAATAATGGAAGTATGCTTCTCCTGCTAACTAGTGACATTTCTAGATCTTATTCTTTTTGTACTAGAAATTCAGTGCCATTAGATGCAGGCGTAGTTCAGTTGATTTGTGCTCAGCCTTCAGAGCTTGAGGTCCAGGGTTTGATCCTCGGGAGCTCCACCTCTGTTTCGCTTTCTCTCTGTTCTCTGTAGCTTTATAGGCTGAATAGTCTGAGGGGCCGGTTAAGAAGCACTCCTATGAGCTTGGTTTGGGAGAATTGGGTAACCATTCTCCGCGTTCAGAAGTAAAATCAGATTAGCTTTAATTTTTTTTATGAAGTGGGCATTATTATTGACATCTGTTGGATCTTACGCTGCAATTCTGTATTGTCCATTCAAACAGATCAAAACAAAATTCAGTACAAAACATGACGTGACGTCTGCAGTGATATTCCTTTACAGATCCTTTACAGAATTGCTGAGAATCCTGTTCAAAATCTGATGATAATCACAATTTCTACTCCATTATGTTTTTAATTTCTTAATTTAACTTTTGGTGTGTGGGTTTTTTTTTTGTTTTTTTTTTGTTTTGTTTTTGCTTAAAATCACATGTCATTTTCTTGAGTACTGTTTCTATGTTTATTGTTAACACAGGTGACGAAATTCATTAAAATAAATAAACGACTAAGATTATTCCAAGGAAGTCTAATTAAGGATCTTTTTCAGTTGTGAAGTATTTTTCCAGATGTTCAATGAAACCAAGCTGAGCCATACTATACCTGATTGAAAACTTATTAACTTTTCAATGTCACTTATTAARTTGTATTTCGCCTGCAGCAAACGGTGAAGAATATATCACAATTGAAAGAAGCTAGCTCTAAAGACGTGCTGGATTGTGTACGGTCACCAAAGACTTCAGACATTTTTCGGATTCTCTTACAAATTCACTTAATTTAAAAAGAAAATTCAGCTCGCTTTCTTTAGTTACTTTTGTAAACAGCAATAAGAAAAGCTTCAATCAAGCTAGAGAAATGATAATTTGCTTGTATTTAGAGAACTAACTCAACAAACTGAGTAATTTGCTTAAAAGTCAGTACATTCGTACGGAAACCCGAGAACAATGTCCCAACTTCTTGGTGACCGTAACACGATCCAGCACGTTTTTATCSACGTGATGGCTAGCGCTCAAAAGGTGAATAACGAACCCGGAAGTAGCTGTCTATACGAATGACGTCAGAATTAAAAGCCGTATTGCTTACATCCTAACCACAATATTACGAACACGTGGAATAGAATTAGCATTCACTTCAGGGCCGACATAATTAGCCGCATGACCACCACACAAACGTCTGGTTATGTCTATGTGAAGTTTGAATCAGTTTGCTTGGATATTAATGTTCTGGTAGACGARCACACTCCTATACATAATCTTTTGTCTAATATTTCCTCTTGTGGTATGTTCTTCACACGTAAAAGTTTAATTCTGTTTATTACAGGTTAAAATGATAGGTTAACAAGTTTTCAATCAAAATTTTCAATTCAAARATAAAAAATAAAAAACGTTTTCAATCACGTTCATGGCTCAGTGGCTTCAATGAACATCTGGACAGGAAAAATATGTCATGACTCAAAGCGATCTATTATAATTGGCTCAATGGGTTAATCGTTAAACTGATCCACGCCAAACCACCCCTCCCCCCCTCCCCCCATCGTGGACTCCACTGACGAAGTATTAATTAGATTATAATCCCTGATGTTTCATTCTACTGGGTTCTTAAAAAGTGTTAAACCGTGAAATACAAGAACAAGATGATGTATCTTAATGATGTAAGCTAAATGATTATCTGCTAGAGTTTCAAATCAAAATGGCGAATTTTACCAMAGGGAGCCCAAATAAGCTAAATGTAATATACAGTACATATCGACCTTACAGTCTTCGCGTATGATAGCCTATATTCATCGTCACTCCAATCCAGATTAGAGAAGGAAATTAAACAGCAAACATGTTAACTGATTATTAATCAATGAATTAAAATCCCCCACAGCCGGCCGTCAATGAACCAATATACTTAAGTCAAAAGTGTGCCTATTAATGTCACAGCGGCTTATTCTATAACTTGTGGTTGTTTGTTTWAAAGCTAATTGCTTTACCTTTTATGGTAAGCCTTAAGAGTCTTTTTATCAAGCCGCCAAGTGATACTCTATATGGTCGCTTATTCAATCCGATACCACAGTATTGGCACGAACACCTTATATAGTTTCGATTCGGTCTATCAGTTTTGGTACGAAGCTATAAGGGACTAACAATTAGATTATTGAGGGCGAGGAGGAGGGGGGGAGGGGTTCCCCAAAAAATATCGAGCAAGCACTTCACCTACAGAAAAAAATATTGCGTGCAAGTGTTGTTACAAAAAAAAAACGACAAACAAACGAAAAAAAAAAAGCAAAAACAAAAAACAAAACAACAACAAAACAAACTTTGCAACAAAAATTCCTACACTAATTAACCTCCCCTTCATTTACTCTAATCTCTAACCGGATGTCAAGTGATGGCACCCGTTATTTGCTCGTTTGATAAACTAAATTCTTTTTTGTTGTTTTGTTAACAGTCTATCGATAATGACTAAAGATGACGAGGAATGTGATGATCATGTTGATGATGATGGGAATAATGAATTGACCATCAACAGTCTATCGATAATGACTAAAGATGACTAGGAATGTGATGA